TGTGTGTGTGTGTGTGTGGGCTGCCAGTACTCATAGTACACGTGTGTGTCCTTGTGTATTATTGTTGTTGTGTATTTATTGTTGTACTAATGCCCCTCCTCAGGTTCCTGCAGAGCGGCTCTCAAGCTGTTGACGCCGTAACTTGGCACCAGTGAGTCACTTTAGCGTTAAAAATATAATCCCAGTATGATTCAATGCAAAAAAAGGTTTCAAACATGCATTATTATTTTGCAGTTAAATATTTAACATAAGGTAATTTTAATCAAACAATTCAGTATATCAATGAACATACATACATACATGTGTATATATATATATATAATATATATATATATATATATAATGTATGTATACGTCAGTGGAAGTCGCCTACGGCTGCGCTGATCACACACCTTGTCGTTAGGAGACAAAAGGTCGATTCCTCTCAGCAGAAACTCCTCAAAGTGCAAAACAACAACCGCTTTGTCGCCCTAATCAGTGAACATTCACAGTCTGCTGTTTTGACAAACTGAGAGCTTGAGTGAAGCAAGTCTGCTCCGCTTCAGAAGAGAAAGCAAAGCAGTTGGATCAGGTCAAACCTAGCAACGATAGGAGGGCACGCTAGCAGTCAATTCAATCTAACATCGCAGAATCTACAGCGAGAACTGGCAGTTCAGTCACGAAAAAACTAATTCAGGAATCATTTATTGCCAAAATATGTCAAACATACAAGGAATTTGTCTTGGCGGTTTGTGCGTGATCCACTGAATTATTTGGGTTTTATTTGTGAGGTTAGGACTTGTGCTGGAGGGTCAATATGAGTTAATGTTTTACTCTTTTATTGATCACTAAATAATAAAGCTATTCATCCACTCCTTTCGTTTCCTAGTTACTACGTCAACGGCAGAGACACAGCAGTGGAAGACTTTCTGGATCCTCAAGTCCTGGACTCTCTGATCCAGAAGACCAAAGACGTGCTGCAGGTAAGGCGAGAGAGAGAGAGAGAGAGAGACAGGACCGTGTCTCATGCATGTCCTCCTCTGCGGGACAGGAGGTGCAAATGGTGTCTCCTGAGAAGCCGGTCTGGCTTGGGGAGACCAGCTCGGCTTTCGGAGGAGGAGCCGCCGGACTGTCAGACACCTTCGTAGCAGGATTCATGTGAGTTATTCTCTATGTGAGTTATTCTCTATGCGAGTTATTCTCTATGCGAGTTATTCTCTATGTGAGTTATTCTCTATGCGAGTTATTCTCTATGCCAGTTATTCTCTATCTATGCGAGTTATTCTCTATGCAAGTTATTCTCTATCTATGCGAGTTATTCTCTATGCGAGGTAATTCTCTAAGCGAAGTTATTCTCTATGCGAAGTAATTCTCTATGCCAAGCAGTCCTCCTATACAGGTAAATCCTCTATGCCAGGTGAATCTCTAATGCAGGTTAATCTCCTGGAGAATGCATTCTCTATTCTATGAAA